AGCACTTCTCCCCTCTTCTGTTCAGCCACCTCCTCTGCCTGGACTACCTGTACCCAGGACCAGAGTGATGTGTGCAATTTACAATCAACTGTAACTGACAAAATAAAAACAATACAGTTGTGAATGAAGGTGCAGGTGAACTTCACTGTCACAAGAAAAGTTTGCATAATAAAGAGGTGGATAAATCTCTTATTTAGTAACAAGTAGAAATTATAGCAGAAATGTAAAAATAATACTTCATAGCTAAGTTAGGACAGTGCAACAGTCTGACAGGTTGACTGGAAGCTATTGCAGCTGTCCATAAGTGATGGAGGGAAGGTGCAAAAAGTCCAGGAGCCGTTATTCATCATCAGTCTTAGTGTGTGACACAGTTTACATGAAACAGACTCAGTTTGAGGGAGAAGCTGTTCTGCAGAACCAAATTAAAACACAAGGTAAGAATACGTTTTACACTGGTTTTACAGTTTAACGTTAGCACACATGCTAACTTCAACTACAATAACATTACACGTTACTCCTCACATATATATATTTGCCAAACGGATGTTGGATAATTAGACATGCAACAGCTGTCTTGTCGGCTAACTGTATGTTACCGAGGAAGATGGGTAGAATATGAAGGTGCTTTCCACCCATACAACATAAACTAAGCTCCTCCCAGTCTGTATGAATCCCTCTGCTGACTACACGTTCCCCTGCGGGCCGACAGGACGACCTTGACCAGCTGACCGACTGAAAAAAGACCACAACTATCTTCATCGTTCTGCTGAGCTCCAAGCATGAAAAACACATTTACGGCTGTGGCGGCGTCTGTCCCGGGGGACACACAGTGTCCAAACAAGCACAAACCCACACCTTGTTTTCATTTTCTTGTTCCCGACCCTCCACTCCTGGAGGCATGAAGGGCAAAGCGCCTACAGATTTCTGCAGTGGTGTGTACAGGCAAACAACAGAAATATACAGTAAGTATGACTGTGTTTGGTCGTGTTTAATGAGTCAAAGATGAACATAAATTAGCATTTTTATCATCTGTGTCTCTTTTTTCGTCCTTAGAAAATGACAACAATATAGACGCATCCAGGATCAATTGTGATCAATAAATTATTCACAGTGAAGTAGTTTTAGATGAAAAAGCTGCTGTTTTTTGGCTTTCAGCTCAGCAAGTAACACTTGTAAGTCAAACAGCCACTGCCCCAAAAATACTCATTTGCATTTACGGAATAAACAAGACTGTAAGGCCTCAGTCCTAAAACCATTTCCATTGTTTAGTCCAAGTCCATATTTTCCCCAGGCCCCCGTTTGGTGAGTTCCCCAAGAATTATTTCCCTACTCAGGACACCCCCAGAGGTCCATCACAGATATGAGGACATTTTATTTTCCTTGATACTTATAACTTCCAGTGGTGCCATGAAAATTTACCCAGGTGGGAAAAACATGAAAACACTTCCAATTTTACTACAAGTTTCTGCAGTTGCCGAAGAGCACAGATATCATTGTTGAGTGTCTTTTGAAATATATTATGAACTGCAGTAACATTTTGACATTGTCTGCCCTTGAAAGCAAAATCAGAGTTGCTGTTTTCTGCCTCTTTAACACTGCTATGACCTGGAGAGAGGAACAGCTTTGTCCTCAGTGGCTAGACCTTGAATTATTATATGGCAGGTGATGTGCTGGTGAAATTGAGGGATTAAAACTATAAACTTATATTGTCCCTTAGCAGCTTCAATTAGATAGATCGAAGATAAGTTATGTGCAATGTTGACATTTTGTTGAAAGGATAACAAAGGGCAAAAATGAAAGTGTTCATCCTCTGGGAACCTTGAATGACAGACTAAAGGACAGAGACATCAGTCACTCTCAGCTACAGTTAAACAAACTGTACATGTCTTCGTGAAAGGGACGAAGGCTTTGCTTTACAAATGCAACAGTGAACACACTGAGTCGACTGCAGTGCAGCCTGTCAGCACGTTGGCCTAGTTTTCTTTCTACATGTGTTGTGAGGGGGGGTCTTCAGCACCCTAAGGGGTCTGATGAGGTCATGTGACTCAATGTATGCATTTCCATAGCTGCACATTTAAACATATCTGTCTTTATGTGCTAGAGCAGGTTAAATCTCTGAAAATTAACTGTCAACTGCTCTTCAGTTTTCATTTTTATGCCCATGAGTGTGTAAAAATGAAAATGCAAATGTGATTACTGCATTTTTTGTTGTTATTTTTACTTAAATAACTCATACTGTGGGAAGTGGGGTCACATGACCACTGGGCTGAACAGGTGTGCTTACTGGGCAGATCACGCAGGTGCCTTGAATGTTCTTTGTTCTGTGTCAGTTCAGCTGCTTCCCTCTGTCATTTCACCTTTGTTCCTGAGTGCACTGAGTGAGTTCATTTCTCTCCTCATATCGTTTATTTTGTTGTTAAGTAGTACATCTAATCTCCTTGGTTTGTTATCATGTGATTATATATTTAGAGATAAATCTTTCTCACCTAAAGAGAAACTTTTTAAAATCTTTCCAGGTTTCCTGTTTACGGCGTCTATAGTTGGAGCTGTGTTCAGCCGCCTCCTTTGAAACTGATGGGAGCTTCCTGCATAACTCGACCTTGAGTTATTAAGTAAGTGAAATTAATTTTAAGTAAAAATATTTTTCAGTATTGATTTGTGAACAGATGCCTGAAATGTCCCTGTTTGCCCTGCGATGGAAAGTTTGTCGTGTTTAGTATAAGTATGTGTTTTCATAGGGATGCCAGGATCCTCATCAGGCCAGTATGTTCCCACACAACCAGCAAGAAATAGTAAGTCAGGGGCATGACTACACTCATACCTATATGGGCTCAAATTAGGTCTATGTTCATACATTCCCTGTTGATATGAAACTAAGTTTTGTGTACAAGCTGTTTCCAATAAACTTTTAATCTGAGTGAACGAATTGGGAAAACTAGGAAACATAAAAAGCTGAGTTTTTTTTTCTTTTTTACTTAAAACATGACCTAAATAATTAATCAATTATCAAAATGCCAATTAATTTTCTGTCTTTATATAAATCAATGAATCCACAAATCACTTCAGCAATAGTACAGCTTGGTTTCTAGGTTCCTGGGGAAATGAAGCTGCCATAGTGAGGGTCATTAAGGGCCCAAGAACAAGTCTTTGCCTTGGGGCCCCAGAGACGGTTATATTATTAGTAATCTTGGTAAAAACAAGAGGTTAAAACATGTTCTTATTTTCCACACTGGTGTTTGCCTACAAGTAGAGTCGTCAAATTATATCCACTAAGTTTTAAACGCTGAGTGTCACCCCAAAGTTTCCAAACATAATCACAGAGACATGCAGTGTCCTCAGAGCCGTGGATAAAAGTAAATACATAAGTAAAAAGATGAAGAGTAAACAGAACAACCTGCACTACCTAAGACTTTTTTTTTTGGAGAGTTTGCAACAGCCATAACGTAACAATAGGCCTTGTTTTTTAAATTGATAACATTAATGACGACTCTGTTCTAACAGGTGTCCCAGTAAACTGACTGTAAACCAGCATGCACAACACCAAGACCCCGAAACTAACACAGCCATCTTTAATGTCATTATTTCCACCTGTAGGTTTCCTGACGTCTGAAACTGAGAAAAGGCAGATTACCAAACATTAATATTGTTTTAATTGACATGATGAAGATAAAATAGATTTTCTATTTTTAGTAATGGTTTTCTGCAGCTTCATGTAACTCACAAGGGATGACAAAGAGATGCTAAAATCATTATTTTTTACTATTAAATTTTGATACAAGGATACAAGATCAATCATTTTGTCTGAGTTAGGGGAATTTCCCAAAACGTACAGTGGTGTCGTTTTCAAGTCCGCCTGAATGTTTTCATCAGAGCTGCAAAAATCTATCACTCAAATTATACTTCCAGTAACTATTGATCATCGGTTATTTTTTGCTTCCCCTCCTCCTTGTTTTTGCCTCCTGATCACACACTGACCGCAGCTTCTCAACATTTCCCACCGTAACACCGGCTCAGATAAAGCGTCGCTGCAGGTGAAGGCCCACAGAGAGCTCCGGTGAATGTTGAAATGAATTCACTGTACATTATTTAAAAGTCTAACCCCTGACCCACATTTCAGCGCGGGCCACTGCAGGCTCAACATAAACCTCCATCTCGCCTCCCGCGCTGCTGATTGGACGACGGGAGCGGCTCGGGAAAGCGCCGGCGAGAACGCGCTCGGCCTGTGTTTCCAGGAGACTCTCCCGCGTGCCCGCGCACGCACAAACACTCACAATCAATCCCGCCGTTGCCTCTTTTCTGTAACTACATAAGAAGCTTCTTGAGCGCGCGTGCGCGCACCCCCATTAAAAATCTGTGTCGGGCGTGCCCGCCGGTGGAATGCGCGCACCTGCTGCCTCCCCCCCCTCCCTCCCCTCCGAGCCCCCACTTCTTTGCAGCTCTTGTCCGGCGCTAATTGGAGAGCTCCGCCGATGTAGATTATAAAATGTAAATACTTGAAGCTTTTCCAGTTTATTTGAAGTTGTGTTGATGAAGAGGAGGAAACATGAGGAGGGTTTCTGAGCGGACTGCGCCTCTTCAATCATAATCATCCTCTTTTCTTTTTCTTCATGAGGATGAAAACACAACATCGCCTTTTTACTTGGAGCAAGTTCATCTTTCCATGAAGCTGATGGGACGACAAGTGTCTGCTTATTTTTCCAAGTAGTCCTTTTTGTCGCAGATCACATTCTGCTGCGTCACTTCTTTTTCTTTTTTTTTTCTTCTTCAGATTTTGATTTTTGATCCGAAGTGGAAAAACAAGGAAAAACAAACATCCTGCTCGACACAAGTTGCCAGTATTTTCAGTTTTTTTTTTTTGTTTGTTTGTTTTTAATAATGTGTCAACAGTGTTGATGTGGAGGATTACAGCAGAATATTTCTTGGTGGTTTACATGTAGCGCAGAAAGAAGCGGTGTGTGTTTGTGAGGGATTCGTCCGAGGCTTATATAAGAGGAGCCGTCATGTATGCAGGACGCAAGAGGAGAAAACCAGTTCAGAGAGCGTAAGTTCATTTTACTTTCTTTGGTTTTTTAAAATATTTTTTTTAATGCCACTTCCGGTGCTATCGACTGAAAAATTAAAATTAAAGCATAAAATCGACCTGTATGAAATGTGATTCGTCCAAATGCACCTGAAGCCGGAACACGAACGGAAACCACTTTCTTCATCGATTTAGAAAAGAGATTTTAATTTTAAAGGTTAAAATTTTCTTCTCGACGTAAATTCATTTTAATGCACGTGTGAGCTGCTGAATATTTCTGTGCATTTCTAAGGTGTTTCGGGAGGTTCGAGGCCTGAACGGGGCGGAAATGTTCCTGCAGGGTCGTTTTAAAGCTGCGGATTACAGCAGGCCTGCAGCATCACCGACATGATTTTAACCTTCAGCACTTCCCCCTTTGATTTTTTATCAATTAAGCTATTTTTAAAATAAACGAAAAGATCGCACAATTAAATGTATGTTTTTTTTTAAAAAATAATAATTTTACTGACTCACCGACTCTCAGCCTTACATGGTGTTACGCCATTTTCTGTCTAAACGCCCTTCAGAGGATCAGACTGACAGTTTTTTCTCTCATCAGGCTGTTTTGATTAATTTGTGATAATTAATATTGCCTTAACAAAATTATGTATTCAATAGACTAACACCCTAATATGAAAAAATGTTTTGGAAACAGTTCCCTGGCTCTATTTAGGCTTTTTTTTTTTTTTTTTTTTTTTTTTTTTTACGTAAACATTTAAATCCTGAGCTGAGATCAGCTGAGATCTAAATTAAAGATAAGAAACCTGATGTTTTTATACAGCCTTACATTAATTGTTTAGCTCTGACACCATAGCATCAAACTGACACCATTTCCCTGCCAGTGATTCAGAAATCTGTGTCATAAAAGTAAGTAAAAGACAAATAGATAATGAATCTAAATCTGCTTTGACGTGATCTTATGTGACTGACTTTGGAAAAGCTCCAAACTGTGCTGCTACACATGATGAGAACGTCATCACACTGACCTGCAGCTCCCACTGTATGTGTGTCAAATCACTGCTGTAGGTTTGGCTTTGCTAATAATGAAGTAATTTTTCATGCATGTAACTCATGAATTAACCTGTGATAGGTACATGTCGCAGGCGGTGAGCGAGACCGTTTCCTCTGAACATGTTTTAATCTGGGAGAATTTTAATGCTGATCAGCAGTGCATGATAATTCCTAAAAAGGAGGCTCAGCTCCTGCAAATGTAGGACTCACGAAACAATCCTGAATAATCCTCCTTGTGCTGAGACAGACGCAAGAGTGTGAGACACACAGATACTGAAATTTGACTCAGGGGATCAGATTTGGGACACACACACACACACACACACACACACACAACTAAACTGATCATCAGTTTATCTGGTTCCAGCTTAATTTCCTTGTAAATCGAGGTTTAGTTAAATTATCCATAAAGACATTTACAATATTTACATCCCAATAAACCAATCCTGATTCAAACCTCATCAGTTTATAATATATTATTGATTAGAATGAGAATAATAATTTTACTGTGGCAGTCAACACACACACACACACACACACACACACAAGCACACAACAGGAAAGAGCAGCAGCGCCGGTCGGGCTCAGTGACATCACTGATGTGCAGTATAAACAGATCTCCATCCATCCAGATTCATGCTCAGTGATAAAACGCGTCAGTGTCAGTGTGTATGAGTTAGGAACAGTCATGGCAGCCTCACTGTAAGACTGTCAACCCGCGTCACCGTCACGTTACCCGTGTTCTCTGTTTGTGGAAAAATGTCTGTAACTTTTGATGCACAAACATCTGAACCGTGTATGAACCCACACGGCGGCCGAAGTGGAAGCAATACAGGCAGTAACACAAGAACAACTTAACTCTGTAGGTTGATGCTTTATGATTCAGTTCAAAGGTTGTTTACAGCAGTAAAACTGACCTGTATTTTCACTTTGTTTTCATAAATTAAACCTTTAATTAGACGGACTAAACCTTTTTAGTTAATGTTTTTAATTTTAAAAAAGTCATTTGTATTGTTTTATTGTTTATTGTATGAAACAAACAAGATTGGGAAGTAGGACACACACAACCACATTTATATTATGTCAACATCTGGGTGTAGCCATGAAAACATGTTACATAACCAAGTGTGTGAGTGTATAGACTTTACAGACCAGTGGAGCCAAACCATTTAGAATGGTCAAGAGAGTGAATGAAAGTAAGTTTCCAGCAACAATAACGATAATAGATGGATTCAGAAAATACAGATAAATAAGACGGACACGATCTCTACAAATGTACCTGATCGTTTTCATTTTCTACATTTAATACATCGACTCACCAGTAATTGTGTGTTGAGCTGCAGAGACACAGGCCTCAGTGTCAGAATCACACTGAGAATATTATTGAATTCTTCATCAAATGAACATAAATGTGCTTTATGTGTTTGAGCTGCGAGTTCAGATTTTGTTTTAATTTACACTGAAAATAAAATCTGTGGCTCAGTAAACATGAAACATATTTTGTTCTATGACGTAAATCGCACCCACAAATGTCAGCTGTTTGTCTTTCAGGCTTTCTGTTTGTGTTCTGTGGGTGTGTGTGTGTGTGTGTGTGTGTGTGTGTGTGTGTGTGTGGTTTGGATAAAGCGTGTGTATCATAGGTCGTTATTTGTTTTAGAGATTATTTTCTTGATTTAAAAACCCTCCTGAACGGAGCAAAGTTCAGGGTTTCACTATAAAAACCAGCCTCCGCCTGTGTTTGGTATTTATTTAAAATATGATTTTTGTTTCTTTGTTGTTTTTAAATCTATATAAGTTTTTATCACTTGAAATTATTTGTATTTAAGTCTTTCAGACTACAGTTGTCACTAAAGTGGTTTCACATTGTGACGCACAATATTTTGTATTTATTTATCAGTATTTATTTTTCCAATTTTACCTATTATTATATAATCAAAATGTACCCACTTAAATACGTTAACCATTTAAAAAACTTATTTTAAAACATGTTTTTGTTGCCGTGTAAGAAGTTGTTTTTGTTTCATGAGGAAAAACTGTGTCTCCTTAAACATGAACGAAATACATCAACACAAACATTGACAGACGCCTTCCAGGAAATTAGACGTTGTCAGCAGGTGAGCCTGGGTGAAATAAAAACAAACTTTATTATATTTATTCTGAGTGAAATATTTACATAATATTATTATACATTACTTTCACACATTCACACAACAGAAACAACAAATAAAATGCTAATTCACAGTAGTACTGTATCATTCTTATGGAAAGTGCAAATCACAAAAAGGTTATGACCTTTAGAAATACGCTTTCTAACTTTGATGCTATGATAATCCTCAAGTCACCAAAACTCTGGTAAAGCAGGATTTAATATTTTAATCCCAAATTCAGTGTAGTTCCACCATATTGTTAAAATAAAAACAAAATGTGTGAGAATAAAATCGGACAAAACGAGAGAAAGCTGAAGAGATCACGTTTTCTATTAGTTTTGATTGCCGGTGTTTGTGTTGTGACTTCTTTATCCATCGTATTGATCAGGGTGAAGCAGCCACCGGCTGAAGGGGCCAAATCCAACCCGTCCAAACGGCACAGAGACCGTCTGAATGGAGAGCTGGAGCGGCTGGCCAGCCTGCTGCCTTTCCCCGAGGAGGTCACCGCCAGTCTGGACAAGCTCTCCATCCTCCGGCTGAGCGTCAGCTACCTGAGAGCCAAGAACTTCTTCTCCGGTAAATCACTGGTCACGTCACCGTTACCGCTCGGCTCATAACAGCAGTCAAAGTCAAAGGTCACACATGGGCCTTTTGTACTGTAGGTGGAAGTATTCTGTGTTGTGACAAAGCCGAGATGTAATATAATGGGTCTAATATCGGGAGTGTTACGATCTGTGTTTGTTTGGACGACTGTGTTGCATAAGAACATGGATGCGCTGAGCTCATCCGTCACATAAACCTCTTTCCAGTGAGCAGAACAGTTTTGGGGAATCGTTTCGTTTGCTGTGAAACTCGCTGAGGATCGATATCAAATTAATGAGTTAGGTGTCCAGCACAGGGAGAGGTCTGAAGCAGCATGTTTAGCCTAGCTTAACACAAACGGTGACAGCAAGGGGAAACTGTTAGCCTAGCTTCATCAAAATAAACAAAATAAACCTCCTTCTTGACATTTAGTATTTAGCTCATTGAACAGCAGTAGAAAAGAGATTTTAGGGGCAGTTAATGTCATTTCTTGAGTAATAACAGTCATAAGTTAACTGATTGCAACGGCATAGCAACGGCATAGCAACGGCATAGCAACAGCATAGCATAGCACATGTCATACACAGATGTCACACAAGCAGGTCTAAAATACAGACACTAATGAAATAAACTAGAACGGCGCTCGGAGTGTGCAGACCTCCTCCAGTGTCAAACAACACACACCAGACTCCATAGGAAAAAAATATAATTTAATGAAAATGATCCGGATCTGCCCCAAACTTTAATGAGTTCTTCCCCGGTCCATGCCCCATCCCTCCACCAAGTTCGGTGCAAATCGGTTCACTTGACTCTGTTCGCTGACTAACAAACAAACAAACAAACAAACAGACGTGAGTGAAAACATAACCTCGTTGTCGGAGGTGATAAAAATTGCAACCTCAGCAGCTCAGTCGTCTTTAGTTTTGAGTGCAGAGTAAATGTACGCAACATCTTTAAAGTCCCATTATTGAAACCACAACATCATTCAAAGTCATGTTGACATGTGCCTGAAGATCCAGCTACAACCCAGCAGCAGCAGCAGCAGCAGCAGCAGCAGCAGCAGGGTTACGTCATGTGGTTCATTTCATTTGTCTAGACAGGCTGATACATTTAAAGAAAAATTATTAGTAGAGTCAAGACAGTCAGTTGTGTTTTTTCTTTTTCAGATAGCAGTCATGTATAAGACACACACTGCCTCACAGGAAATTGTCATGGGAGTTTTAATTGTTAAATGATGAGGGCTGTGATTCAAATAGCACCTGCTGCTGTTCAGTCGTCGATCTTGACTCTACGGCAAATGCAGATTTCCCAAATTGTGAGATTGTTCTTTTTAAGCAACAAAAAATCCTAGAAAACTCTTTAGCATCTTTGGTTTGTAATGAACAGAATTACAGACATCTCTGAGCAGGAAGCAGCAGTTTAAAGTGGCGGCCGTTACCTCCGTTATTGCTCAGGTCGCTCCGACCTTTATGAGATTGTCACAACAGCCAAGTCGCTCGCTCTGTATTTGTGTTTCCCGACATCTGCCGGCTGGAGAGAAGAGCAAGCGGCCACCGCCTTATCCAGATGATTTCATACCAGGGAAAGGGCCCTCAATATTTTATCAGGGCCCATGTCTACGTGTGTGTGTGTGTATGTGTGTGTATGTGTGTGTGTGTGTGTGTGTGTGTGTGTGACGGGGATTAGGAGATGGAGCTTTTGCTAGGCGTCCATTAAAACTGTACACCAAAGCATGGAGAGGAGTTTGCATGCCAGTGGATGGGATGTGTACGGTTCTTCTCTACTATGCGGAGTGAAGACATTGTTATTTTAGGCGGTGATCTTTCAAAGAGAATGCTGCAATGCGGCCGTCGGATGCTCTTGAAGCATGAATAATTGAGAGAAAACCCTCGAGTTTAAAGAATTTATGAAATGAAGTCAGAGCAATGTTTGTTTAAGGCAGCGGCTTTTTTGAAAGGGCTGTTTGGGGGTGAGACGGACAGGATATTGCACCGGCGATACGATTGTGTTTTCAGCGGATGTAGCAAATGCATTTCATATTTTTTGTGTGTGTGTGTGTGTGTGTGTGTGTGTGTGTGTGTGTGTGTGTGTGTGTGTGTGTGTGTGTGTGTGTGTGTGTGTTTGGCTGCTTTGTTCACATGTTGTGTACGTTTAGAGGCTCCAGAAGAAATGAAAAGAAGCAGGTCTGAAGCATTTTCATCTTCAGAGAAATTTCTCTTTCAAGAGGAAAAAAAATCAAAGTTAAAAGTTTATTTATGAAGCAGGTTTAAAGAAAACCAGCAGGGTTGACCAAAGTGCTGTAGAATAATATACGAGGAAAAACACACAACATGGAAACAGCTCAAACGTGATGCATTAACTATCGCACGGTCTGAGACGAACATGGAGCAGCTAAATAAAAAAAAACAAGGGATAAAAGTGGAAGATGAAAACCTTAGGGACGCTCGAAAGCCAACGAAAACATGGGTTTTAAGATTAGTCTTAAAAATGTCCACAGGGGGAACATTTAATTAAAAGAGGTAAACTGTTCCACGGTTGTGGGGCAGCTACCGCAAAAGCCTGATCACCCTTTCCCCTTAAGCTCGCCCGAGGGACAGCCCGGAGAGAACCAGGGACTGAACCTTCCTTCTTGTATTTTGCTTATTGAGCAGCAGCAGAAAAGAGCTTTTAATGGCAGTCAATGTTCTTGACCAACAACAGAATAGCATCGCACACGTCTAAGTCAGATATAAAATACAGACACAGTGATAAAGTCAGCGCGCAGACCTCCACCAATCAAACAACATACACCAGAGACCATAGAAAGATAAAATCTAATTTATAGGTCCATGACCCATCCCTCCGACCAGTTCGGGGAAAACCGGTTCAGTATTTTTTGCGTAAACCTGCTGAAAAACAAACAGAGAAGCGTTTTCCTCTTCAGAGAAGTTTCTCTGTGTGTGTGTGTGTGTGTGTGTGTGTGTGTGTGTGTGTGTGTGTGTGTGTGTGTGTGTGTGTGTGTGAGTGAACGCATTATTTCCCATTCTGTAACACATGGAAATATTCACTGGCCACTCAACCTGTCAGGGTGAATTATTGATAGTGGATTTCAGTACCAATAGGTCAAAGTGTAGCCTATAGACAAACCCTCTTGTCTAACTGCATTAGCCTACTTCCTGGACAGTCTCTAAGTAATTAACGAGCTCAGGGCTCTTACATTAAAGAAGCTGCTACCACACAGAAGAGAAAGCTCCGAGGCCCCCGAGGGCCCGTCGCTCGGGGCTGCCTCTGTGGTCAGCCATAATTTGTTGTATGTAAACAGCACAAATCCTGCACGTCGGAGGCATCTGAGGGTGGGTGGTCTGAGCCGTGACTTAGCTCTGGTACAGTCCGGGAACGCTGCCACTGCTTCCAGGCTTTGTGTGGCTTGTTTGGAAGAAGTGTTAAACGCTGGGAGAGGCCCACCTTCATTAACTATTAAAATGCATTAGGTTTTTGCTCTGCGCTGTGCAGATGTATGGTTCCTCCTGAATATCCGTGTTTTGAAAGGAAGGTTCATGATTTGAAGTTTGAACACTCAAGCGTCACGCGCCGCGCGTGTAATTGAATATGTCGCAGGAGTGGAACAAAGCCCCGGCAGAGCCCGGTTAATCTGGCTGACGGTATTATCCAGCCCAGCTGCCATCTCTGTTATTGTCTGGAGCCACAATGGGCTCGGCCCCTCTCAGCCAGTCTGAAGAGAGGAGGAGGCGGCGACTCTCTTAAAACCCGATAACGCCGGGATCACCCCGCTCCGGGTGTGAAGCACCTTTCAGCCGTCTTCGCAACTGTCGCCTGCCCTGTCCGATCACTCACGCTCCCAGATTCCCACCTAATGAGGGAAATATGGAAATGTGTCCCATGTCATTTTGTGTCCCCGTCGCTCCAGGTGACGAGACGCGATGAGTGTCTTTGTTTTTGTCGTGTGCAGCTTTGTGATGACAGTGCAGATTTACACTTTGCTTCACGCCTTGTTACCGGTGGTTTTCTGACTTCTCAGGCCACGACCTGTTTCCAGCAGTTGGTGCGGTCACGGGTAATTTCACCGTAGAGAATCAGTGATGTGCTTGTTGGAATAAGTCTGCTCTCTCCTCTTTATCCACGTGTGGGGTCAGTGGCTATAAAACCTGATATGAATATTTGCATTTCTCTAATGATTTGGGAGATTCCCTCTTCTGGTGCCAGACAAATGAGCTTTTTAAGGTGAACGCTATAGGATACACTTGATTTTTTAATAACATGTATCCATAGAAACACTGCTGCAGCTCAAACAGCTTTGTTCAAATACTGTGCCTCATGGTTGCAGTATTGTAGATGTTAAAGGCGTCCTGTGGAGGTGTTGTAGTGAGAGCGAGAGAGAGAGCGAGGGGATGACATGACCACGTGCTCTACCAGGTGAAACTCCAGGGAGTTTTGTTTGTATCTGGTGCTCACACACCGTCTCTCTGATGGTTTCGCCCTCTCTTCAGGACTTTCTGCCGTTGTTGTCAGTTGCTCAGATTCTGCTGCTTTCCTCGCCGTACACTCTGATACACGGCCTCGTTCGCAGAAGCATAATGTTGCACGATGTCTGATGCAGGTCAGCGAGGTAGACGACGTGCAAACACAAACTTATAGATACAGTCGACACGGCATCTCATCCGTTTGTCCAGAGTGTAGTGATCGTTTGCTTCCCTGACTGTCCTGGTTACACAGCTGTGCTGAGAGCATCTCCTCTCCTCCTCTTCCTCTCGTGAAGCGCGTCTCCTGCTGAGAGCTGCTCCCACGTGACGAGGTTTAGCTCTTCATGTTTTTCATTAAATGGTGTATTTACTGTAAAAATCTTCCAACCTTCCAACAATTAATCAGTCACATCGTGTTTGGTGTGTTTTTATTTTATGGCCTGAGAACTCGCCCTACATCAGCACAGCCTGTAGTTTTTCTTCGCTGAGGATTGGTGGAGAAGTTGCTGCGGTGTTTACGGAGGAGGAAACCCT